ATATACTTGAATAAGATAAAAAGAAAATCAATATTTTATTATTCAAAATTGACGTTCGAAAATTACATTATAGAAATGATTCTGCCTTTATTTAGAATACTACTGTTATATATTTTTATTATTGATTTTTAATTTGAGAAACATAAAAATATTAAGTTAAATATTAGTTAAAATATTTTATTATTTGACGATATTTTATTATTTAAGGATAATTCCATTTTAAAAAAGAAATAATTATAATAGATTAATGAAACGGTAAATTAATAAAGCATCTAAAAATAGAAAAAATATATATATTATTACAATATATATAATAATGATATTATAAATTTTCTTATTTTTAAAACAAATATTTTATTTTACAAAAATTATTCTAAATTGTAAAATTTTCTATTTTTTTCAAATTTTTATTTTTATTATGCAATTTATATTGCATCAATTTTTTATCAATAAATATTACATACAATGAAATGATTATAAAATATCATTATAAGATTGAAATATTTCGTCATATATTTATTTATTATTTCATATTTACATCTGTTGCGGAAAATAAATTGAAAACTCAAAAAACATAGGAAATATATTACTATTAAACAAAAAATTGAAGATAAATGAATTAAATAATTATTTAATAATGTTAATTAATTAAATAATTATATTATTAAAGAATTATTTAATAATTAAATTTAAATTATATGAAACTTTTATTAATTACAAAATAATAAATAAAATAATAATTAAATATATTTTTGTGCAGAAAATATGAGAAAGTAAATTATGGAAAAAAAAATTTTAATTATAGTCACAAACTTAATACAAAACTTAATATCTGTAATTATTTATAATTTTTTGAAGTCTTTTTGGCATATTTTTATTTATATTTTATAAATATTATTTATATCCTATTCATATTTTATATTTTATAATTTAATAATTATATTTTGATCAATTTCAAACTACGTTTAATAATAGCTTTTAAAACAATACTTTAATAATTTTCAATGTTTTGTAAATAAATATTAATAAAAAATAAAAATACATTCCTATAAATATTTGGGTTTGGAGATGAAATTAGAACATGATGCATTGCAATAAATGATTTTCTTTGAATTTATTGATTATTTTGTATAAACATTGTGTGTTTAATAATACATCAATGCTTTGTTGCAAAATAATATGTATGCATTTAAATCATTTTTTTCAATTATTTCTATTAAATTTTATGATAAAATATTCTCAAATTCTCTTCTGTCAATATATCTTTTATATAGAATAATCCAATAATTTTATTCATTTTGAATATCTATTATTTGTGACAATATGAAAAAATCTTGTATACAATTTTATTTACCATGAGAAAAGGCATAATACAATGTAAATACTTTTTTGTTTGAGTGGACACGTTGAGGGTATTTTAAGATCATCTATATTTTTTTGACCGAAATTTTTTATGTCAATTTTATATATTTTTTTATAAATTATAATTTTTATAAATTAATTCAATGAATTATTTTTAAAGCTAATTAACTTCAAATTTTCTTGTAAAATGATTTTAGAAGATTTCGAAATATTGATCGTTTGCGATAATATAAAATTGTAATTTTATGATTATTGAATCACATGCACATTTTATTATCTTTTATTCTATATATATTGCAGTAATTTTTTTATATTTTCGCACAACACTTTTTGATAAACAATATTTTTTTCAAAGTTCCTCCCCAAAAAAAATCCAAATAATCAGACGTTAAATCAGGAGATCAAACCAACCACAAAAGTTATATTCCTTGTTTTATCCATTTGAGCAAAGTTCTCATTTAAAGCATTTTTTTATTCTTCATAATGTTTTAGGCATATTACATCGTATTATGTTATACAATTATTTAACGAAAAATTACAGTATTTCGATCAAAAAAATACAAATGATTTTAAAATATCTTCAATATATAATATTAACTCATATAAAAAATACTTACATCATATTATGCCTCCTCTCAACAAACACCGAACAAAATCGACTATATAAAATTTTTTCGTATTGTAATAAATAAATATTCAAAGTGGACAAAGTTATTGGAACTTGTTCAATAAATTGATTATTCTATATTTATTCCGCGCTAGCATCAATCTTATATGTTTAATGGAATAATTATAAAAATCTTAAAATTTTGTCTCATTTTTATTTATTTATAAATTCTTTTACTAAATAAAATTATTTAATAAAATAATATTTTATGTAATAAAGTTCAAAATTGATTCGTTATAAAGAAAATAGATTTTTTAAAAATCTTTTTTTTACATCATCTGTTTTTTTATAAATATTTATTTATTACTATTTGTAGATATTTTGATTTTTTGCAAACCTATTGTTTTTTAAATACTTTTCTAATCTTCTGCAATGATATTAAAATATAAATTCTAAATACTTTCTTTAATAATTTCTTTAATCACAAAATATTCGTAGTCTTTCTTTATTAATATTTAATTTTTAATTTTTAAGTAATTTTAATTTCAAAAGTAATATCACTTTTTAAAAACCCACGTTATATAAAGATAGGTCTAATAAAATCTATTATAAAATATAAGAAATATAATTTAAAAATTACTCTTTAAAATAATGATAATATTATATATGATAATATATGAAAAATTTGTCAATTTACTTTCTGCATGACAGTAAATAAATTTTTATTTATGCATGTTTTAAGTTTATATTTATATTAAAGAATAAACTTCGAATAAATATACCATTATCATTCGAATCATACTGAACAAATAAAAAAGATATATTTTCGTTTTTAATAAAAAACAATCAGAAATACAGAAAGTGAAAGTGCATAATATACATTATGCAAAAGAACTATAAAATATTTATTATTTTAGTGAATTTATAATTTATTTTATTTTATTGTACAATTAATAAATCAATCAATGTGTAAATATAGTTTTTTAACAAAATATGTATAACTTATTCATAATAATTATGAAAATTTCAAATTAATGAGATTATTTAAATTATTATTTATCTATTCTTCAAGAAAAATCAATAAAAGTATAAGACAGATAATAATATTTTTGTAAAATAAATAATAATATTTCATAGAAAATAAACTTTATTTTCTTATTAATAATATATAATATTATATTTTTGCAATATTTTCCTGAAATATCATTTTTTTATTTTTTTATATTATCAAATTTTTTATCATTTGAATAAATATCTCGGGCATGTATTCCAATACATTTCAATACAATATTGAAATCTAAAGATCAAACAAATCATGATAAACTTTTAATTATTATTATTAATTATTATAAATTAATTAATATAATTTATTTAGTTCTAGAAAATTTTTAATATGTTTCACAGTATATATGTTTGAATTATCGCGTTGGAATAGAATTTTTTTTTTATTTAATATATTTGCAACAATAAAATGCAAAAATATAATTGGAAGAATAAAAAAATAAATTTTAATAAATTGATAAAATAAACTTACAATCGGAGAGCAGAGAAAAAAATAAACAGTAAGAAAATAATATTTTTTGATAAAATATGCTTTAATTTAAATAATAGATAGATCAAATTATTATTTTTATCATTACAAAAAAAAAAGGACTTATGAAACAAAAAAGATAAATCGAACGGAAATAGAAAGCAATATTTGTAATAAATATAATATCAAATTTATTCATCAAAAAATGAATAGCAAGTTACATGCAAACGATCAATTGATTAAACATTTTCGTCGGATTTCAAAAAAATTTTAACACAATAATTTAAGTATACATACTGTGAAATACATTACAGATTTTTTAGGAGGAAATGAAAGTAAAATTTTATTATAAATTGCATGATCTCTATATCTCAATATTATTGAAAATTGTTAGAAAATGTTTGTCCAATATATTTATTTAAATAACAAACAATTTGGTAATATAAAAGAAAAAATTATATTTTAAAAAGATGAAAAGCGTTAAATTAAAAAGTTAATAAAAATTTATAAAAATCATTATAATACAAAAGAGAAACAATTGAAGTCATTAAGAAAAAAAAACTACACATTATTTAATTAAAAAATGAAGTTTATTTTTTATGAATTATTGTTATTTATTTTACTAAAACTGTTACTTGTCTTCAATTTTGTCACACTGGTTCTTTTTAAAGAATATGTAATTCTAAATAATTTTCAATTAACTTGAAATTTTCACAATTATTACAAATATATGTATTTACTAAAGAACTATACTTACATATTGATAAATGTATAAAAAATTAAAAATAAATCATAATATTCATAAAAATGGTAATAAGTATTATACAGCTTTGTTGCGAAATATATTTTTTACAAATTGGATTTCAATTCCAACTATTATCGTGCATTAATGTTAAGAATGATACGAAAATAATAAAGCGGTGCTCAGTGAAATGTGGGGCAAAAAATGCATTAAATGTTACGTGCATTCTGTATCCTAACTCTATCGATATTCTGTTATTTGAAATCAATAATAGATAAGTACATATTTAAATATACATATTTAAGTAAATATGTACATGACACAGCATATATATACATGATATACATGATATATTTAAAAATATTGAATTGAAATCTTTAAAAATAAGAATTCTATAAAATTTGAAATATTCTATTTAGTTTTTTTTTTTTTTTACCAATAAAATAATTTTTATACGAAAATTTTTAAAAAAATTTGTAGTAATTATAGAATTAGTGTACATTAGATATACAAATAAATCGTAATAAAAACTTGTAAATCATAGCAAACTAAAACTATGATAGTATAATCACTATCTATCTCCATAACTAAAATAATTATCAAATACACAATTTGTTATCTTTTACTTAACAATCTATATATCATCTTTTCACAGCTATTGCTCACATAAATATATAAGTAAATACTTACTATATATATATATATATAAACTGTAGTTAATTCCTACGTTGACCATAACAGAAGATGTGAGAGATTTTTTTTGAAAGTCGATATTTCAGAATATATGGAATCAAATTTCATAAAATGTCACATCCACATTTTATAACTCATAGCATTCAAGCTTTCCAAAGACGTGGAATATAAATGCGTTGATTGATAAGCCTATTCTGCATCTCATTCATTATCCCTATTCGTTAATTCATAAAACTGAATAATCCTGCGACATCTATGTATTGAAAAGACATATCTATTCTTTCATTTATCATATTCATTCGTTTATAATTTTCAGTTCATTATTGTTACAAACAAATATCATTAAATTTTAAATGTAAATTTAAATTTGAATAATCGTGAATTTAAAATAAAATTTAAAATTAAATGATAAATGGGATATATAAACGCAATATTTAAAATATTCGAAATTCTCTGTAGATGGCGGTGATGTGTATCAGTGAATTAATTAAGAAGGTATCTCTTATCATCAGTTTGTAAGTGGCGCGCAACTAAGTAAAATGTCATTTTACACGTTTTCCATTTCGATTTAATATATTTTGTTCATTCTCTAATAGTTTTTATCTTTTTCTTTTAATGATATGATCATAGTAACAAATCGTAAGTTCTCGAACCATACTTTTTCTACATCATTGAAATTAATTATCGTTATCTTTGATTGCACTCAATCGTCGCTTCATCGATTTCAAAATCGATCAATGGCGTCTCCTATTGCACTCGTGTTTGCGTTATTCGATATTAACAGATGATTTATTCCACTTTACTACTCATTCGATCATCTTACGACTACAAAGCGGTAAGATTTCGAGACAAGTGCATCTTTTGTTTTGATACGTTTTTGACACCAAGCAAAGCATAAATCGAATAATGTCGAATGTTTTATACGTTGTATCATATGTATTGTAATCAATATATTATCTAAACATGTATTTGACATCGTTTTAACGCTAAATCATGAAGCTAATGGATGAAACTTCCGTTCAATTTGAATTTGACATTTTTTTCCCTATTTTTTCCCCATCAATTATTCAATTATTCTTTAAAAATTATTTTTTACATTATTTCGAACAATTTCATTCGTTCGTTATATTCATCGCGTACATTTGACGTGAATCTTCAAATTGTTAAAACACATAGGAGACAAAATGGCGGGAAAACATGTGCAGTACGAATTTAGTTTCGCAGGGTAAAAGAGGACACAAACGGTGCATTACCTATGATCGATAATTTAGCTTTCTAATGATAAAATCGTAAAAAAGTTATTTTTCCCGGTAATAACAGTTGCTAAAATTTAAACCCGCCTTGATCTATCATTTGAATTAATAATACTTCGTGAGGTTTAATTATATCTCCATGTTTATGTGTTCGAGAACTAAACTAAAATATATCAATTATTGATGAAATACAAGCAGGAAACGCAAACAATGTGAGGAGAGAAATATGAAAATTTGACGTAACAGAAGAATCGAAATATGATTTACTTTTATATATCTAAATACGCGTCTCGCATATAATTGTACAATAATTATCAAAGCAGGAATCGTTTGCAAGAGATCGTTCGTTATGTTTGAAAATGCGAGATCAGATTATCAACAGTATACTTTACTTATTCATATGTTCAATTCTACAGTCAAAAATATATTTTACACCAGAAATTTAACATTATGATACTTATATGTATGTATATACATATATATACATATATATATATACATATATATATATATATATATACATACATACATACATACGTACATACATATATACATACATGCATACATACATGCATACTCACATACATACGTTCATCCACAAATACGTAGACGCGCATACTTGAAACGAATACGAAGAAATAATTTATTTTTCATGTCCAAACATTCGAAAAGGCTAGGTAAAGGATAATAAATTCATCGATCAATTGTTTTCGAATGAATTAGAAAAAAAAGATTATTGAGTATTGCAAATTCTATTGCAAGTTGATCGTTTTCGTTCGAGAATAAAAAAAAGAAATTTCATTCGAACAAAATCTATGCGAAAAGAGAAAAAAAAAAATAATGGTTCAGAAATAAGATATCAATTTGTGACATTCATTCTTTATACGATCGTTTCTCAGTAGCTTATAGAAGAAAGAGAGAGCAGCTGACGGACTCCATTGCGAACACCTTTGCAAAGAGTACGCATGTTAAACCAGTTCTCTCCTTCAAGGATAGGCTCCTCCCAGATCTTTTATGAACAATCTTGTTCCTCCATTGGCTAGAAAACGTACGATCGATGGTTGTCGTCGCGCAAACGTTTAATCCCTTTTTTCTTTTTTTTTTTTTTTGCGATTTCGCAAAAGCGAACAAGTAATGTCTGTATATATATATATATAGAAAAAAAATTAGAAAGAAACGTTGCGTGAAAAACACAATGAATCGATAATGATAAGATAAATTGTTTAGATCGGAGACGCAACACCGGTCGAATACTGCAAGTCAAGCAAACGCATGAACACGCGAAAATACATCTTCCGTTTGAACTGGATGAACCGCATCATTTCTATCGGTCTCGTAATCGGTTGGTCACGTCGAGTGTTGAGGTGGCGGAAGCGCAATTTCATATCCGGTTGGCATACTCTGTTGATGATGTTGATAATGATGAGCAGTGGACATCATCTGATGATGCGTTTGCTGGTAATACTGATGATGCATGCTCGAATGGGTAGAATAATAGACGGAAGTCTGGTCCGTGTCTTTACCTGAAAACACGAGCGATTCGATTAAAACGAACGTCTCGATCCGAGACAAATGAAACAAGGATGAATAAAACTAAGACTTACCGGTCTCGCAAACCCCGCGGCCGTAGCACAAGGCTTTAACATCGTTCATAGGGCTAAGGCTGCCGCTGTGGGGATGCGTGGTGTGCACGGAGGATGGGGCTACGGGTGTCGCGTATCTCGGATGACGAGAAGCCATGGGGCTCATACCCATCGGGCTACACGGATTCACGGCAACCGGTGACATGCTCATCGTCGAGAGCGGCGACATTGCGAGATTCGTGCCGTTCGAATCGATGCTCTGCAAAGATTGAATGCTCTCCCCATTGGTAACCGAGCCGGTGATCACGTTGCTCGCGTTATTCTGGCAGTTCAACGGTAACATGTCTCTGAAACGAGGAAGATGAAGTAAAGGAGCGATCGAGAGCGTATTCGCGACACGATGTTATAACGTGTTACAGAACGAAATTATTAGTTTTTTTTTTTTCTTTTCTATCTACGGGAGATGTGCGCGGAGACACACGCGTGGCATTGGTCATAGTCGATACATGCGAGAGAAATACGCCGCCGCTGAGAGAGAGAGGGAGAAATTGGCCGTGTACCGCCATAAATCTCTGTCAATCTCGTAAAGAGAGTCGACAGGGATGAAAAATCGAAGGAAAGGTTCAAAGAGAGAGGTTGGAGGGAAGCACATGCGAGGTCGTTCATTGTCTTACCCAAATTCGAAAAAACCTGTGACCCTTGGCCCGGGAAGGATCGAGGGCGATCGAGGGTTCACAGGCATAGACGCGCGTGCACGCGGCTCATTCGTTCCAAGAATTTTTTCAACACGCTCGAAAAAGGTGGAGGACAGAGAGAGAGAGAGAGAGAGAATAAGAGAAAAGGAGAAAAGGTAGCTCGTTCGCGACGCATTGTTCCATAGCCATTTGCACGCGCGAACTGTTTCCTCCGACTTCTCTACCCTGATCTTTCCCTATACATATACGTGTTCGCGTTAGCATTAGTATTAACGTTAATGTTCACAACACGCACGTGCACGCACGGTGGTCCGTATGCAAGCAGCTCCGCCCCCGACTACGCTTCGTTTCTGCCACTTCGTTTCTATACCTCTCCGTTGACGACCGCGCGGATTTTTATGGTCGCGCTCCAAGGTCTAAACTCTCCAAGCCAGAACTCGACTCGGCCCGATTCCCTTTTCGAACGCGACTACCTCGTGGTGAAATTCACGTGGTGGTTTCGATTCGATTTTGATTCGAACGCAGGAGGACAAGGAAAAAAAAAAAAAGAAGCAGTGTCTGCGAGGCAGAACGCGCTCGAAGTTGGATGGAAGCAGCGGTGGAGGGTTGGTCGTGGCCTTTATGTAGTAAACTATTGGTAGTGCGAACAGCTCAATGGTGAAACGAGAGACGTAACCGAAGCTGCGTCATAAAACGGTAATAGGGCGTCGCATTTCCTTTTCGTAGAGGTTTTCGCCGAGGGAGTGGGACACGTTAGGGGCGGAACTAGGAGAAAGCTCGAGCGAGGAGCACCTTCGCGATAATTTTTTCCGAAATGGCCCGAATAACTTTGGCGAAAAGCGAGCGCACGGTTGCGAAGAAGTGAAAAAAAGAAAAGGGAGCGCGTATACGTACATACATAGTGCGGCGAGCAAAATCGTCGCAAACCTCCGAGCCAAGGCAGACCGTGACCGAGACCACATCGAAGCCATAACAACACACGTCTCTCTTTCTCCCATTTCGCTTATCCATTTTACACGCGCGCGACTTGCCTACGCAGCGACGAAATTCCAGCGATCGGAACGAACTGCCGCGCGATAATCCGTATAAATTTTCCGAGAACGAATTTTCATTGTAATGAAAAAGTGGAAAATCCGAATACTCTTTATTCTTATTTACTCTATATTTTTCGCTTATGTAATTCGCCAGAAGTGTACGAGAATAAACGTATACAAAACGTATAAATAAACGTTTACACACACATATATATATATATATATATATATATATGTTTTTTAAAAAGAAGATGGAAACACCGCGAGAAGGATGGAGAAACAGTTTGGGGTAATAGTGGGTTTTCCTCGAAAAGAAGAAACTCGCGCGATGATCTCGGTCGGAGGCTCGTTCGGGGAATGATTTACCGTGTTCGAAATGGTCGGTCAACGTGTGCCCCTCGAAGAAAAACGCACGACCCTGTACACATGTCGAAACACTTGTTGCTCGGTGGAAAAGTCGAGGACCCCCCGTTGACACACGTGCCCTCCATGCGAGGAAAGTTGGTCGCGGAATGGTTTCGCGTCTCGGTCGGGAGCCATCCTCTTGGGAGGGGAGGGAAGGAGGGGGGGGGGGGGGAGGAGAATTTTTAAGACGCGCGAAAGAAAGACGCGCGAAAAAACTTACGTTCTCGTTTGCGGCGTGCGATCCCTCTGCCGTCGATTTTTGAACCAATTAGCCACCTGAGTCAAGGTCAGGCCGGTCTCCTTCGCCAAATTCTTCTTCTCTTCGGAGAGTGGATACTTTGTCCTCATGTAGCATTGTTTCAGCGCGTTTCTCGAACGTTCCTTGAAGCAGTACACCACCTCCTCGCCGTCCCAAATCGTCTTTGGCAATGGATACTTTTTCCGTAGCCGATATTTGTCAACCGGGCCAAGCGGCCGCCCCCGGATCTTTTCCGCCTCGCGATAATGCGACTTGTACCACATCTGCTGTAGTTCCGGGTGCCGATCCGAGGAGAACGGATGGCTCTCCAGGATCGAGTAGAGCTCGTGGTAAGCGCCCCGATGAAAAGCCACCGTGGCTCTTGCTATCAGCACGTTCTCGTCGCGGCGGAACAACTCGCCAGGCGGCAACGACCATAGGAGCCTATCATCGAAACGTGCGTTCCTTTTAGATTTAACCGTTCAACCGTTATTTATATTATATTCCACGATTCGAATCGACGAATTGAGATCGAGAATTATTGCGGAAGGTGGAAGGAAGGAAGGAAGGAAGGAGACGGACGAGGGGGATAGGAGGTTAAATTTCAAGGATCAATATTTTATTAGAGAGAGAGAGAGAGAGAGAGAGAGAGATAAAGAAGCGCGAAACGCGGATTCGTCTCGTCCTCTCGGCGATAAGAAGAGATTTCGACGGGCGCCGTTCGCGAACCGAGTCGGTTCGAAAAGGAAAGAGAAAATAAAACAAAGAAGAAGGAAGGAACGATCTTTACCTCGTGAGCTTCTCAATATCCTGCCTCTGCGATAACGCCTTGCACATACAAGATATCTGGTCCGGTGTATAGTTACTGGCCGTAATTCCCAGAGAAAGTCCACCGATGTTTCCTATATTGGTGGACGTATTCGCGGAACTACAAGTGGTCAACTCTTGAGGATACTGAAGACTGCCACCACCGTTCGAGGCGGACGTTAGATTTTGCGAATGCGTCTGATGCGTCAACGCGAGCCCGGGCATCGACGAATCGTCAAATTGTCCCGTGGACGTGTTCCGGTGCATAACACCTATCTGGCTGTTGCATTCGCTATTCGGCGACGACAGTTGATCCGAGCTATCGGGCATTCTCGTTGTCGATTTTCTTTTTTTTTTTTTTTTTCCCTTCTTTTCAACCGGTCACACGAGGCTCATTTCTCCGTTGCGACGTCCGAGCGCTTCGCCTGCAACCACGATCGCGGACTCGCGTTATCGATCGGAGGAATAAACGCGATTCGAACGTCGTACGACGCGTACCTTCGGTTTGATGTAACTTGGCGGAAAAATAAGCATCCGTTGCTCGAACGATCGACGCTTATTCGATCGACCGTGTTTCATTCACGTCCCCGCCATTCGGTATCTTCATTCATAAATCCTTACCGCCGGTGCACATCAATCTCCGGTGCAACGTAGTTCCATCGAGTCCAGAAACGAGGCTTCGTTCGAGCCTCGCGACATTTATCACATACAATTCTGTTCAACACCGTAATCACCTCTCGGAGCACACTTCTCACAGAGTCGAACGGATACGCGATCCCGTCGGGCGAAATGATTTTACGATGATAAAAAAAAAAAGAAGTAACGCGTCGATCGCGTGTCGAGCGCGGTAACACGGTTCTCCTGCTACTGTGGTAACGCGAACGACGATTGTAGTGGTGCCAATGGCACTGCCGATCACTCCGCGCCGATGTCGGTGCCGATGCAGTTGGTGGAGGAGGTTGTCGGCGGGTGCCCTCTCTCTTTCTCTCTCCCTCGTCATCTTCCGCTCGAGCTTCTTTTTCGTTTTTCGTAACGCGCTCGTACGCCGAGGAGTGGAGCGCAACACGGCACGATACGACGCGCTCGCTCCTCGCCATTGGTCGGCGGGGAGCGCGCCAGCTCGTCCCATTGGAGCGGCACGGGGGCGGTGCAAACTTCTACCCCCCGTCGAAAGCCACCCCATTCGGTGTCCACGGAGAGACCCACCGGCTTCCTCTTGCCGGTCTTTTCTCACCTAAGAACGATCCTTCCAACCTGTCCGATTTTCAAAATTCCCAATAACTTCGTGTCGCGCGATCTCCGTCGCGTCGGCCATTTGTCTCCGATTTCTAAGATAAAAAAAAGAAGAAAAAAATATGCCAAAATCGTGGAAAGTGGCGGACAAGTTACGCGTACAACATACGGTTGAATGAGTTCGCGGCCCACGTCTGAGAGTATAGGAGCGAAGCAACAAACACCGGAAACGGAACGCGACAACGTTACCGTACACCATGTTGTGATTCTACGTGGTGCTATCACGCCTCGCGTTCGATTAATTTCACAACACCTGCAACGATTCTCCCCCTCTCGCCCATCTTTTTATTTATCGCGAGTTTTACTTACCGACAACCTTATGCTTCCTTCTCTTTCCGTTTGGAACACGCGTAATTTTACCAATGAAAATCTATCTGCTGAACTAAATGCGCGCGATTCATCGTTTTCTTTTCCCGAAGCAACGATTACGCGTATCCGATTAAAGATTTCGTGGACGAAACGAAAAGAAATCCATAGGATGGGATGCGAGTAACGGAGAGAGAGAGAGAGAGAGAGAGAGAGAGAGAAGACTGGCAGGGGAGGACAGGATCTTGTCTTGTCCGTCGGCAGGAAGCGGATGGAAATAGCATCGAGTTTGACAGACCACCGGCGTTACGTAGATCAATGAGAGCCGATCTTCTCTGTCGGAGACAAACGAACGTGTCTTTTAACAGCCACGAAAATCTCGATCCCGGCCACGCCTTGCCAATCCTTTGAATTCGCTCCGCCTTTCCCGACTAATTGCCGATCACAGACAGACCAAAATGGATCGCGCGACTTTGACGAGCCCCCATCCGAAGTCAAGCCAAACCAAAATACTAACGACCTCTCAGAACAGACTTGGATCGCGGATAATCTCGGCATAGAAGAATCCCCAAACGCGTCGAGTCGCGCCGACTTTTCTTTCCTTCGCCTGTGGGAAAACTCGTTTCAATTCGGATAGCGCGCGTTAGACGGACCGATGACACTCGGTGAGGCAAGAACCGATGATAGAGGGGCGGTGCCGCGCTTTGCGATGGCGTCTCCTTCGATTTGGTGTCGGATGTCCTCCGAGCCGCCATTTTCCCACCCCTCTCTATCTCTTTCTCTCTCTCTCTCTCTCGCTCGCTCGCTGCTCGCTCGCTCGCTCTCTCTCCCCCTCCCTCTCCCTCACTCTCTCTCTCTCTCTCTTTTTCTCTTCTTCTCTCTTCCTCTTCCTCTCTCACCTTTATCCTCCGAGTATCTTCTTTGTATCCTTTGGCGCAGTTTTCGTAGGAATGCTTTCTTTTCGAAATGATTCCTGAAGGCAAATAGTTGTGTCGAACGTTCTTCCACGTTTCTTCCTTCTTCTCTTGATATTATTAATCGGCTCGTTTGCTCGTTTTCGCGTTTATCCTCGAATAATATTTCGAAAGCTCGTCCAACGAATAAATCTCGCGGTAATCTCGTTCGGAATCGAGAGAGAGAGAGAGAGTGAAAAAGAATGATAATTCGGAAAGAAGAAATTCGTACCTGGATAAACAGAGGTGTTCCTGGCTCGATGAGTAGGAGACGGCATCGGGGGCAAACGATGAGAAGTGGAGGAGAAGGGAGAAAACGAAGGGAGCGAAGCAAAGCGGAACGTAACGGAACGAAGCGGAGCACCGTGAACGGTAGCAGCACCAGCATCGTATTTCGTTGTACCGCGTTTAATTGCATTCCAAAATGGCTCTGTGCAAAATCGACTCGCGACGATCCTCCATTTGTCCTCGTTCAGCCCCTTGTAACGCGACGGAAAGCGAGCTGTTGGCATCTTCACCGGTGTAAATCCAGATAAATTAAACCGGACTATCTCTCTCTCCCTCTCTCGAGTAGATTTGAACTCCGCGTTTCACACTACTCGGCACGGCTCCACATCGTTTTGTCCATGACGACAACGACGTCGACGACGACGTCAAGTATCTACGGTTTCACCTAAACCGGGCTACGGAACAAAGCGCGCACAGAGGGCTTTGCTACGACACTTTCATAAGTGGCGCGTGCTTAACTCTGGATGGAAGGAGAGATCCACGCGAGAGAAATTTTTATCGAAACGTATATTTAAAAATCATTAATTGCCGATAACCGAAATCGAACCGATAGTTTAAATTTCGCAATAAAATAGAGGCCGTCCAACGATAGACGAAAGAACGCCTTTGTCGCATCTCGTATTTCTATGCAAACACGTAGCTCGCTAGTCGTACGGATAGCTACGTTTATATATATATATATATATCTCTAAAATTAATATCGGCGAACAATAAGCGGTGCGTTCGGCACGCGGGGATCGAAAGTTCCGACACGACGCGGCGGTCGCGTTGGTGGCCGACATCGGACACCGGCTCGTCGAGATAGCGACTATCTTTGCGCGCTCGTGCATTACATATACGCGAGACGACTAGAATCGTCGACGATCGGTCGACCGAATTTATTTTTAGAAACTGTTCGTACGTTCTCGGTACAAGCAGGTGAGCCAGCTCGATTTATTCTAAAAATTTCGCCGTTTCTCTTTCTCCCAAGTGATTCCGTTTCGTTGAATTTTCTCCCAATTTCGAAGTGGGTACGTTTCCGCAATCAGTCTCGGGATCGTAGCGATGGAAAGAGAGAAAAAGAAAAGCGCGAGATTATTCTCGTTTCGCGGGACAATGAAATATCGCGTTAGCGAGAGGATTAAGCGACGTAATCCGTCGGTTATTTTCCCATTAACGGCTCGGGGCGAGGGAGATCGGTGCAGGAGATTCTTTGGATGGAAAACGCGAACAGGCGTGAACACAGGTAGCCGGAGAGACCTTTCTAATGCTAGAAAATATGCCCTTTATGTGTCACTGGCCACTTTATGCGCCGTGTCAGTAGGTTCGCGTAGATTTCCAATCTTGGCGTCCTCTTCTTCTTGTTGTGTCTATCTTTTCACAACTTCGATATCGAACTTCTCGAAAATGATGTTCGATTGAACGATCGAATTTCTACTCGATATCGCGAACAGTTTAATCTTCGCATTGTTTATCCGATAAAAGATTCGATTTTGAGAGTAGACACGCGAGGAGATCTATTAATTGCTATTTGTTAGCGGATAGAGAGATATGAAAATCGCGCCCAATGTAATTTACGGAGGGAATACGTAGCGAACATAGGATGTCCTAATAGGCTAAAATTGCCGATTACACGGTTAGTTAGGCGCGCTCAGTGATTTGAGGGTAGTCGAAACGGTGGACTGTCATCGTCCCTATTGTAACGGGCATCGGCTAAACGCATTGCGCGAGGAACGGGCCTAACACGGAATGATTGCTCGGATTAAAAGGGCTACTAAGAGACGCATCGTTCTGAGAGAACGCTCCAAAAATCGTGTTATCTCTTTTACGTCGTTCAGCTTTTTCGCGCCCTACTTTCGTAAAAAAACTTTGTTGAAAAAAGAAAGAGATCGTTCCTTCTTTGTTTCGATCACGTGACGTATCTAGACGAAATTAAAAATGCGGCTTCAAAAAACGTTTGTTCTGCTCGATTTATCTTTGCATAATACTTGAGCGCATATTTGGTATTTTGACGTTGGCACGGTATTGTTACTTGATCGAAGAAACCGTTCCTAATATGCGCTACCTCGCACATTCGACCTCCTCTTATCTGCGAGGTTTGTGTCAGGTGAGTTTTGTGGGAAAAAATGGTGGACGCAGGTCTCTCGCTAGAATCGTCTTTCGCTGACTCGCACGATTTATCTGCAGGTAAAGTACGACTTTTGCACACTGGCACAAATCTGCCAAGACCTACAAACTCGTTCTCACACTTGTTTCTTTTTATTTTTCTATTTATATATATATATATATATGTAGGATAGAAGCAAAATTAATTAAATTCGTTCTATTTAACGAATAAATGACAGATGTTTGTCACTGTGATGTGTGAAAAATCTTGACGATTTACACGCCAATATCGATTCGGACGATTCGAAATTTTTTCGAAAAAATTCCCATCTCATTCCGCTTCCTGTCGTGGACAACGCGCCCGTGCCCGCACTCGCATCAACAATAAAGGCTTGACGCCATAGAGGTATTTGCCACTGTTATGTCGACAATATGTTCCGGATCCTTAATAACGACAGCGAGCGGTATTAAGAGGTATTACAAAGCGGCGACACTTGAATGCGCGTCGAGGAGGGTTCTCACTCTTGAAAAGAGCATCTGAATACAGAAAACCCTGTTGGCCCTTCGATGTTATTATGAACTCCCTCCATTCACGCCACGTTCCCGTCTTCTTCTCTAACCTTCCCCCCTCTCATTTTCTCTCTTCTTTTACCCTCTACCCATCTCTGTGTTCATTTTTCAATCCGATAAACTTTCTCTTATATTCTAGCAAACGGTGTAACAAATACATTAATCGTCAGTTTGACAATTTTCCAATGTATCAAAAGATACGTTGCA